AAACCAAGGTATGGGGCTGGAGATACGGCTCAGCGGTTAAGAACTCTTGAAGCTCTTACAAAGGACCCAGATTTGGTTACCAGCACCCACGTGGCAGCTCATAATTTCTGTGACTCCAGTTCCAGGGGCCCCATGTCCTCTTCTGGCTTTCCGGGGCACCAGACACACACATGGTGCAGTTGGGGAAGAGTTTCCTCACTACTGAGACATCCCATCCTGCAGAGAAGCTCCTTAAAACAGGAAGGAAAACAACTTGAAATAGCTTCAAGAAGTCTCTGAAGCTGACTGCATTTGCTAGGCCACTCCCTGTCGGTAAGCAATTAAAGTTGACCAAAATTGCTAAACTGCCAAAGAAGACACCGAGAGCCGGCTTGACACTTGGAAGATGCAGACACCAGAGCTGCCTGGATGAAGTTTAGACCAACTGAGGCCCCTGGAAAAAAGGACACTCTAACTTGTTGAGCTGCCTGCAGGCTGTGTAGGCAACTCCTTGTTTTTGCAGCTTTGTGGGCTGTCACCTGTGCCAGGGTGGGCTTTGGTGATGTAGCCATCTTTGAGCCATTCCTGCTCCTGTAAATAACCCCTCACTCATATTGCTATAAGTAACCCCAATAAAAGGCATTGGTTCACCCAGCTGGACTTTGGTGGTATCTGTACTTTGGTTTGTCATGGGCTCCCTATCTGAGATGAGAGGATGTAAATATTGCATCTCCTTGGAAAAGCTTCGTCACACATGTATGCAGGTGAACACTCATAGTCATAAAAACAACAACAACTACAACTTAAACAAAAAAACTCAAGATGGATGACATCTGAGGAACCACACCTGAGGTTACCCGTAGGCCTCCACAAGCATGTTCACAAACTGGCAACTATGTACACAAATGAGACCGGGAGTAGGGTAGGTGTGTTAGGAGGGGCAAAATGGGGGGAGCACAGGAGCTAGCCAAAATCTAATCCAATCCCATCATTTTTGGGTTTCTGCCTTTTTTGGCTGTTGTTATTTTTGAAACAGGGTTTCTCTGTGTTGCCCTGGCTGCCCTGGAACTTGCTCTATAGACAAGGCTGGCCTCAACACAGAGGCCCACCTGCCTCTGCCTCCCGAGTGCTGGAATTAAACTGCCACCATCACCCAGCTATGTGGAGTAAGGCCCCAGCTCTCAGGCTACTATCTTAACCAGCTCACACAACTGCTTGTGATGCAAAGACCCTTTACAACAGTTAGGGCTTTGAGGTCTTCCTTGAGTCTCACTGCAATCTGGGAGGCCTTAAAGAGTGCAAAAGGCAACAGTTTAGCATCACTTGAGGGCTTTTAACTCCCCACCCACCAAGGCATGAAACCAGTAGGGTAGCCTTGGGGAACCTAATGAAGTGTAAATAGGACAGCCCTAACACTATTGCTGCAGCATGTCTGTAAGCCTGAAACTGCATCATAAACGAAAATTTAAAAGCACCGAGGATGGATCCCCAGCACAGAAAGGGGTGCAGGAAGACTGGATGAGAGTAATATCAGCTGGTCTAGAGGGATTTCTGCCGAAATTAAGAGCAAGATTCAGAAAAACATGTTTAATGCCATCCTATTTTTGTGAAGTAAACAGAATCCACCCTTCTCTTGTATATCTTTACAAGGATTGAATGAAATGTTCATGGTAAATTAAAAAAAAAATCAGGGCTGGAGAGATGGCTCAGCAGTTAAGAGCACTGACTGCTCTTCCAGAGCCGTGAGTTCAATTCCCAGCAACCACATGGTAGCTCACAACCATCTGTAAACGGATTCGTCGCCCTCTTCTCGTGTGTCTGAAGACAGTGACAGTGCACTTACATATATAAAATAAATAAATCTTTTAAAAAAATGCAGAGCCTAGTTCCTGCTTAGTGTAGATGTAGGTGTGGGTACAGATGTAGGCATGGGTACAGGTGCCTCCTTTCAAGGTCCCTCCAAGTCAGGTTTCTTAACTTTACCACATATTAGAGTAGCCTGGGAAGTTTTAAAATGGCGTGAGATCAGTCACAGCCCAGACCAATTAAGTAAGATTCCTAGCATGAGAGTCCTGTCTTGGGCGGCTTATAAGTTCCTCAGTAGCTTCTAATATACACCAAAGTTTTCAGACCAGCTGGGCAGACGCTTCGGGAGGGCCAGGGTGGAGGACCAAGGCTGGGAACAAACCCACATGTGTAGCACTATTGAGCATTAGGTATAGATGCGCACACCAGTCCTTGGAACAGTCAGTGAGTGGAGAGAGAGCTCTAGAGAAACAGGCTGGCTCCAGAGATCAAACAGCCCAGTGGCCAGAGGTCAAGAATCAGAAGGGGAGCCATGTTTACTCTTGGACAGAGGGTTTGAAATTCCTCAGATTGGTTCCTGGGAGTCTCTCTCTCTCTCTCTCTCTCTCTCTCTCTCTCTCTCTCTCTCTCTCTC